TAGAGACCAAAACCAAAACATAACAGAAAACAAAACAAAACAAAACAAAAAAACCCAAACCATAGAAAGAATCAATGAAACAAAAAGCTGGTTCTTTGAAAAGATAAATAAGACTGACAAACCCTCAGCAAATATGACTAAAAGGAGGAGGGGAAAGACTCAAATTAATAAAATTAGAAAAGAAAAAGGGGAGATAAAAACAAACACCAAGGAAATTCAGGGAATCATCAGGGACTATTTTGAAAACCTATATTCAAATAAATTGGGAAATCTAGAACAAATGGACAAATTTCTAGATACATATGAGCATCCAAAACTGAACCAAGAGTATATTAATTACTTAAACAGATCTATAACAAGTAGTGAAATTGAAGCAGCAATAAAGAGTCTCCAAAAAAAAGAAAAGCCAGGACCTGATGGATTCTCAGCTGAATTCTACTAGACCTATAAAGAAGAACTAATACCAACACTTCTAAACTTTTCCATGAAATAGAAAGGGAAGGAACACTGCCAAACTCATTCTATGAAGGCAATATTATACTCATCCCAAATCTGGACAAGGACACAACAAAAAAGAATTACAGGCCAGTCTCTTTAATGAACATAGATGAAAATCCTCAGTAAAATAATGGCAAACCAAATTCAACAGCATATAAAAAAGATAATACACCATGACCAAGTCAGCTTCATCCCAGAGATGCAGGGATGGTTCAACATATGCAAATCATTAAATGAAATACAGCATGTTAACAGAAGCAAAGACAGAAACCACATGATCATTTCAATAGATGCAGAAAAAGCCTTTAACGAAATTCAACATTCTTTCATGATGAAACTAAGATTAGAAGGAATCAACATAATAAAGGCAATATATGACAAGCCTATAGTCAACAACACACTAAATGGCGAAAAACTGAAACCATTTCCTCCAAAGTCAGAAACGAGATAAAAGTGTCTACTCTTTCCACTCTTATTCAACATAGTCTTCTAATTCCTACCCAGAGCAATAAGATAAGAAGAAGAAATAAAAGGAATAAAAATTAGAAAGGAAGTAGTCAAACTATCCCTATTTTCAGATGACATGATCTTATACCTAAAACCCAAAAAACTCCACTATAAAAAGCTTCAATAAAATAGTAGGATACAAAATCAATTTACAAAAATCAGTAGCCTTTCAATACATCAACAATATACAGAATGAGAAAGAATATAGGAAACTAATCCCCATTTACAATAGTCTCAAAAAACAAAACACCTAGAACTTAACAAAGGATGTGAAAAAATTCTACATGGAAAAGTATAAACCACCGAAGAAAGAAACACTATAGAAAATGGAAAGACCTCCCATGCTCATGGATTGGGACAGTCAATATAATGAAAAATGGCTATATTACCAAAAGCAATCTACATGTTTAATGAAATTCCCATCAAATCCCAATGACATTCACCACAGAGATTGAAAAATCAACCCTCAAGTTCATTTAGAAGCACAAAAGACAGTGAATAGCTAATGCAAAAAAAGCAATGCTGGATGTATCAATATCTGACTTCAAACTATACTACAGAGCCATAGCAATAAAAACAGCCTGGTACTGGAACAAAAACAGATACAAAGACCCAGATATGAATCTACACAGCTCTGCCCACCTGAATTTTTACAAAGGAGCCAAAAACACACAATAGAGAAAAGACAGTCAACAAATGCTGCTGGGAAAACGGGATATCTGCATGCAGAAAACTGAAACTAGATCTGTGTCTGTCACCCTGTACAAGTATCAACTCAAAGTAGATTAAGGACCTTTGTATAAGACTTGAAACTTTGAAGCTAATGCAGGAAAGAGCAGGTATGGAGAACAGATTATGGAAAGCCTCTGAGAACTGGATGTAAGCAAGGCAAGATGTGGCTTAATTGCTTTTACCTGTAGGCCGAGATAGGCACAGCACCGGCCTCAGAACAGAAAAAAGCAGAACAGCTGCGTCTCCTAAGTTTGCCTTCAGAGAAACAGGAAGGCAGTTTTCTCCTGTTACAATGTCACACCGCAAGAGCCTCTGCTCCATCCTTTTTGCCACTGTTTATAAAAGGCCCACTGAAGGAGGGCTTAAGGCTCTTTGCTTTTTGCCTTTGGCTTGGGTTTTTCACTTTCGGCTTTTGCTTTGGGCTTTTTGGGGTGAGAAGCTTTTGGAAGGGAAAAGAACTGCTAAAGGGAAATTGCTGAAGGGAAAAGAATGGCTAAAGAGGGGTTGATAGACTGCACCAAGAACTTTAACATAGGCTTTAGAAGCTAAAGAAAAGCCAAAGAGAACACCTGACTGTGCAAGATAGAAGTATGAGACTTTGCAACTCTGAGCACGGAGGCTAAAGAGAGAATGTTAAAGAAAAGCTGCAACCCTAGGGACAAAAGACTTTAAGAGCGATTAAGCTAAAGATAACCTAAGAGAAAACATGGGACAGTGAGAGTCTCTGGAAAGAGGTTTTAAGCAAGGTTTTAAAGAGTTGCAAGGAATAAGGCATCAAAGAATAAAGATAAAGAAGCAATTAGGATTGGGCATCTCCACCCGAATGCCCAACACACCTGACCCTACTTTCTGTCTGTCTGTCTATCCTATGTCTTTTCTGAATCTCCAGTCACCCCCAGTTAAGCCCAGTTAGGTTCAGTAATAACCAGGAGTGAGAGAGAAAGCTTGCTGTAAGAAGGGAGGGAGGGAGAAAACATCGCCCCCTCCAAGCAGGGAATACATTAGAATTAATAGGCATAGGCAATGACTTCCTAAATAGAACTCAACGGCTCAGCAACTAACAGAAAGGATTGACAAATAGGACATGAAATGAAAAAGCTTATGCACAACAAAAGAAATCGTCTCTAAATTGAAGAGGCTAGCCAAAGAATGGGAGAAAATCCGTGTCAGCTATACATCTGATAAGAGATTAATTACCAAAATTTACAGGGAGCTCAAAACACTAAAGCCGCCCACCACCCAATCAATGATCCAATGAAGAAGTGGGCAAATGATCTGAACAGAGCTTTTCCAAAGGAAGAAGTCCAAATGGTTAAAAAACACATGAAGAAATATTCAACATCTTGGTCATAAAGGAACTGGAAATCAAAACCATATTAAGGATGACCATCAAGAACACAAACAACAAATGTTGGTGAGAATGTGGGGAAAAAGGATCCCTCGTACACTGTTGTTAGGAATGTAAATTAGTACAACCACTGTGGAAAAACAGTATGGAGGCTTCTCAAAAAACTAAAAATAGAACTGCCATATGAATTAGCAACTCCACTCCTAGAAATACACCCAAAGGAATGATTGTCAGGTTACAATAAAGGCACCTGCACACCCATGTTTATTGCAGCAGTATTTACAATAGTTAAGCTATGGAAACAGTCAAGATGCCCCACTACTGATGAATGGATTAAGAAAATGTGGTATTTATGTACAATGGAATTTCATTCAGCCATAAAGAACAAAATTTGTCATTTACAGGTAAATGGATGGACCTGGAGAACTTCATCTGAAGTGAAGTTGGCCAGGTTCAGAAGGCCAAAAGTCACGTTTTCTTTCATATGTGGAATACAGATCTAATACAAATACAGTAATAATATGAAAAATAGGTCAGGCTAAGGGGAAGTCACATATAAGAGGAGGCAGTTAAAAGAAGGAAGTTAAGGTGAATATAGTTGATGTATTCTCTATGTAAGAGTGAATACAGAATTTTAAATCCATTGAACCACCATAAGAATGGGACTAAGGTAGAAAGAAGAAAAACAGAGTTGAACCAATTCAGGCTGTAATAATATAAACATGGACATGTCACAAGGAAACTCCCTGTTTTGCGATCTTATGAAAAAATGGAACAGGTTCTTTCTGAGGGGTTGGTACCAGCTGTGGGGGTGGGGGGAGGAATTGGGGAAAGGATGTGGGAGGGTGAATATAGTGCAAATACTGTGTACACATGCATGTAAATTGAAAAATGATACCTGTTGAAACTATTCCAGGAATGGGGGGGGGGGAATAAAGGAGAATGATGGATTGGGTAAATTCATGTATGATGTATTTGATATAAGAACATTTGTTAATTCCACAATGTATCCCCACCCAGCACTATAATAAAAATAAATGTATTAAAAATAAAAAGTGTGCCCTTTATTATACAAATGAAATCAGCTTTAATACAGAAAGCAAATGAAATACAGAAATGTACGGAACATCTTTAAATATGTTGGGGTATTTTCTTACATTTTTCCATTTTTACTAAGCCCAGTAACATAATGGGCTCCTTCATTATAAAAGTAAACATAAATGTAACTAGCTTAATATTCCTCTCATGAATGTGTATTTCTGTTGCCATTTTCTTAGTTTTTGCCATTATGTTTGACAGTTGTGTGATCCCCTTGATAAGCTTGGTCTAGTCTCAGAAGTAGTATCAAATGAAAGGTTCTGAACATTTTTCACGGTACTCCTTATCAAACCTGTTACTGAAATCTACATCATCTTCATCAATTCACAGAAACATGGAATCGCATACATGTTTAGGTCTATGTCCCACCCCGTTTATTTCACAAATTCTAAAGTGAGGCCTGAGGTCGGATATCCAGACTCCCAGTGGATTTCGCCCCAGGTGCCAACACGATTTTTTTATGCAGCTGGGCCAAAACTTCTGGACAACCCCACCCATCAGCAAAGCTTATGCCTCTCTGTTTTACTGGATTCCACTTTGGTCTCAGCCCGTTGCCTTGCTCCCGCGGGACGCCAAGCAGCTCAGACTTCCAGAAGTGCAGAAATAATCTAAACCCCACTAGCAGCAAACACCGAAGACGCCCACACCACCACTGCCAGCCACAAGCCGGAAGCTGGAGAAAGCGGAAGTTCATGGCTGCCCCGCCCCTAGCGACGCCGTCCCGCCCAACGCGCGACGCCGGCTGCCAGCCCCGACGCTTCGAGCGAGGATGCCGCGTTGAGGGGCTTCTCTGCCTTAGACTCCGCGAAGCCCGAGCAGCTGCTTCTAGGTGTCCTTAGCGAATGCCAGACCGAGCGCTCTGGCCATCTAGCAAATCCTGAGCAGGCTTGGGTACAGGCGACCAATCAGTGCCCTGCTGTCCAGGCTGAACGAGTCGAACGCGGAATCAGAGATCAGGCTCAGGGCGGCTCAGGGCTGCAGCTCAGCAAGCCGGGCCTAGCTTTGAGTCCCGGACCCTCCAACTCGGACTCTGCGCCTGCGCCTGCCTGGCAGCCGGCGCGGCTGCGGTCTCCGCGGCTGCAGTGCACCGCCTGGGTATTTGGGCAATCCATGGGCAGCAGCGAGGGCCGCGATGACAGATTACGGCGAGGAGCAGCGCAACGAGCTGGAGGCTCTGGAGTCCATCTACCCCGACTCCTTCACAGGTGACTTTGGCCGCCGCGAGCCCGCTGCCGGTTTAGGGCGGAGTGGGGCGGGCAGGAGCCGCTGCAGCCTCGGTCTCCGGGGCTAGGCTGGAGCCGGGACCTTGAGGCCGCGCGGCCACCTCGTTCGCCACTTCGGCCAGTTACCAGTGGCGGTTGCCCTCCTCTTCTGCTTGCTGCTGAAATCTGGAAGTTGGAGTGCTGGTGGATACCTGGGATTGAGTTGGGAGTGCTTTGATTTCGGTGTAATTTACAGCAACCCGAGATTCAGTGAGATCTACGAAAAGATACTCCGCGATTAGTTTCTCTAGAGTCATAAAGGTGTCCACTCTGTCGAGGTAGAAGCTGTTTTTTAATACGATGGTGTTTGAAAATTTAAGAGTTTCTGAGTGCTGTTCTTAGAGTTGCCCAGAGTCAGTTTTGAGAGTAGCACAGTCCCTGGAGTTAGTTGGCTTTCTTTTCTTTAAAAATTGTCTGGAATTCTTCAGGGTGCCAAATGAATGGTGTGGCCATTTCCGTTCCGCTGTGGATTCATATACAGGTCGCTCGACTGGTAGAGATGTTAGCCGTCATCTAGTTTTGAGACTCCTGCCCGGAGCGAAGTGATGGAGGCTCAGGAAGGCGGTGGCCGCCTCAAGTCCGCCGGCGAGTTAGCAGCGGGGCGGGGACTGAGACAGGGCTGACCTCTTTCCTGTTCTTTCATCCTGCGCCCACGTGGGATTTGGGATCCCGCTCCAGCTGAGATGAGGGATAGCCGGCACCTTGGACGGTTGAACTAAGATAAAATGTTAATGAGAAGTTCATTAGGTATATTTTAAAAGAAGAGAATTCCTCCGTGTGAAGCCATGCTTCAGTTAATTCTGAAAGTTGTAACAAGATAACTCTCGGTGGCTTCTCTCAGGTGTGAGAAGCAGTCAGGGTAAAGACCGGATGACTCAAGAGACTCTACCTTTGGAGGATTTGCATTCCCTGGCCCTTGTTTTGACTGTTGTCCGTTACTGAGTGTAAAGTATGTTACTTTAACTCATCAACTCTAGCCTTTCTCCTTTCCTTTGTTTAGCTTAGTTTTTTTTTCTTGGCTCCAATTTTTGACCACTGCTTGCAATGGTAGCAGATTTTGTTCTGCTTTGCCAACAGGCGGTTGTCTCACAGCTACCCCTTTAGAGCTCTAGTTCTGTTCATATCTCTCTCACCAGCAGTACGGCTGTGCTGTGAGGATGTTAAGGGGATGAATGAGGAGGGGTTTGAAAGTGGCATTATCTGGGTGACTGCGTGTGGAGTCTGGCTCCTTTCTCTATCCTTGCTTGTATGTCGATGTCTAACTAAAATAGAATACTTGGATATATTCTTAATTGTGTTTGGTCATTTCCAGTAATTTGAGAATATAGCGAACATTGTGTAGGCAGAAGCAAAAAAGCTTGTGGTATATTCTTTTCATTTCTTTGTACATAGGTATCCGTCATTAAATGTCGTGCATATATATATTTATAAAGGTGTTACGTGAAATTCTTGTTAGATGCCCTGAACCAGGGCATTAAATGACAATTTATGAATCTTTTGATGCATTTCAAGTATTCTGCAGTTAATCAGTTGATCCTGTCGGCATCTGTATAAGATTTGCAATAAATAAAATATCTTGGTTTATAGTTCTTAGGGGAACTTTGCCGTACTTGTGATCGTGTTCTTATGAAGCTTATTAGGGAAGAGGCAGAGGACTTTGAAATAAAATGTTTCCATATTTGATGTCTTGAAATTTTTTAGAGTTGCAATGCTTGTTGTTTTGAACTTTTATATCAGGTTTGCCAAGGAACATTAATTTGTAATTTTCTAACTTCATTTTGAATCACATTTAACACTAGATTTTGTAAATGTTTATTGATGAAGGTAGTTGATGCACTTTTTTTTTTTAATGGATGACTGAGAGCTTACGAAAGAAGCATTCAAATACACATGACCTTATGTGGGTACCCAAGAGGCATAGTTCCAGCCCATAGACCTAGCCTAACCTCAGAATTAATTACTTTCTATTTTCAAAGACCTTTTGGTCCAATGTTGCATTTGTTGTGAATTATAACATATCATAATGCACTTTCTTCTTTTTGCCTATTCTGTAGCTTGATTGCACATTGATCCAACCCTCCTAACAACTAGTCTTCCAAAATATAAATGGACTCTCCTGATACCACATTCTCCTTCAGTAGTACGTCACTTGACAAGGTCCTGCTAAGGTAGTAGAATTTGGTTATTTCCATTTCTGTATCAAAATCTCTGGCTGTGGGGAGTTTTTTTGTTTGAATAAATTGGTTGACATAGGTTAACCAAAAACCAAGTTCCCTTTGTTTTGTTTGCCTTACCGAGAGGGGTGCCTAATCTTGTATTTTGCTATATCACTCTTCTAAGTAGCAGTCATTAGCATTTAATAGTTACAGTAGTATCTTAGAACTAGAGCAAAAATCTTCTTGTAAAAACAGTTTTTTTGAGACATACTTTTTGAAAGGTTAGATACTCCCTAACAACCAAAGGGGTAAGCTATCTGATTCTTCGTGAAAACCTAAGGTCATTTGCATATACATTAGCACACCTTTTAGCTACCACCTCTGTTATCTCTGTTCTTCACAAAACTCTTTAACTCCGTACATATCATCATATTCCCTATATCACCAAACATCTTTCCTGATTTTCCACTAGTTCTTTCTGCTATGCCCAGAAACCTTTTCTTAAAAGTATTTTAATCCACTCACAGTAGTGGAAGTCTGGCTGCCTTAGAATTGGGAACGGGATTATTTCTTTATTAGAATTGGTCCAGGTGTGGTGATTTAATGCCTGTAATTCCAGCTACACTGGAGGCAAAGATCCAGAGACTCAAGATTAAGACTAGCCTGGGCAGAAAGTTAGCTACACCCCCATCTCAACCAACAAGCCAGATGTAGTGTTGGTCATCAGCTGCTAGAAGCATAGGTAGGAGGATTGTGGTCTGAGGTGAGCTTTAGGCAAAAACTTGAGACTTACCCAAAAAATAACAAAAAGTAGTAGAGTCTTTGCCTAACAAGTATGAAGCCCTGAGTTCAACACCAGTATTGCGAGAGGAAATAAAAAGAATTTAGGAGTCAACCAGGCATGGTGGTTTACAGCTATAATTCCAGCACTTGGGAGAAGGCAGGAGGATTGTGAGTTCAAAGCCAGCCTGGACTACATAATGAGTTTCCAGCCAGCCTGGGCTACATAGTGAGACCCTGTCTCAACTCACCCCCTTTCCACTCCCAAATAAAACAAAACCTTAGGAATCATCCACTTTTGCTAGCTTTGCAAATCCATTTAGGTAATTTTCCCTTCTCTGTTTCTGCTTATCTTTGGCATATTGTACCTTTTTCTGTTTTTTTTTTAATCAACTGTGACAGAGACCCTCAAATAACAAAGGATTTTAAAATGTAGGGGGTTTTTGCTCTTATCCATAAAAGATTTGTGACAGCTGCAATCCAAGAATTCCTCAAGGATGAGACTTGTTCTGACTTAGCTTTTGCCAGCCCCAGGTGTGCTCTCACCCTCTTGGTGAACATGGCAGTCACATTCCATTTCCAGCAATAGGATAAAGGAATGAAGGGGGAGGAGGGTATGTGAAACCCAGCAGTTTCTTAAGGAGATTTCCAAACTGACAAAGGTGGTGTCTGCTTCCATTTTGTTAGCTGGAATTTAGTCATTTCATGAGAAATGGGAAATGTAATCCTTGTTGGGGGACTGGTCAGTACGCTTGGTTAAAAACGGTGCAAGTGGAGAGTGAATATTGTTGCACCTGGTTCCCATTTTTTCTTTATGACAGCTTGGTGTTTATTTTGACCTGAAATTCCTCCTCCTGTCTATATAACCTTTGTAGTCCTACAGTTCTTTGTCTCATGTGTTCACATGCTTCTTAGTATGATTTCTCATGGATTGTTAGTTCATCAGCTTTTTTTCTGGTCAATTTTACCTCCCTATTCTCTCTGGCTAGCAACATCAGGCAGTTCAGTGATTATTATTATTATTATTATTTTGCTAACCTCTCCATGTCTTTTTGGCTTGCCCGTTTACCAAATATTTATTACTAACATTTTAAAGAACTCTGCTTATTAGGGAAACAGATATCATAGACATTTACGGAGAGAAGGGGGTAGCCTAAGTTGTTTTAAAGAACAGAGGGGTGATGAGTTAAGAAGTAAATGAGACTCAGGAAGGATTTCTCAGGAGAGGGCACAGCGTATTTATATACAGAAGCAGTACTCTTAAGTGATTTGTACTAAGGACAAATGGCTTGATGTTGCTAGACCATAAAGTGAGAAGTGAGAGTTCATGGAAAATGAGACCTGACAAATAAGCAGGAGCCGGATCTCAGAGAACTTTGTTAGGGATTTAGATATGATCTTATAGGACAATAGTTCATTTCTCTTTTTTTCCCTACATAGCTACACTAACTATACAGTGCACATTAGAGACACTGCCAAATTAAACCCACATCTTCATAGTTGAGTAGTTTCACCAATAAAATAGACTTCAGGTTACACATGTTTTCTAGTGTGTTGGCTATATGACTTCCACCTCATTTTCACAAGTGATCCTAACACACTGTACAGATAGGAAGAACTACTGTAGTAGGCAGGTAACTGTGATAAAATGTGTATGTGATAAAAATATGCTTGCTAAAAATCTCTGTGCTAAGAGACAGTGATCAGGATCTGGCCACCTTGTCTTAAAACTCTTTTCTTGATTTGTACAGCAATGGTGTCTCTTGTGTTATTACCTCTTGTGGCTACTTCTTTTTGGTGGTTTTTTCTTGCTTTTTGTTCTCCGAATTGAGGATTCCTTATATAGCCTTCATCTCCTCTATTTTGTATCTCTCTGATGATCTCGTTTAGTCTAATGGCTTTAGTTATCACCTTGCTGCAGATAATCCCTAACTAAATTAAAGCCCAGTTCTCTTTAGCTCCTTTTGTCCATTTCTAATTGCTTTACTCAGTGCCTCTAACTGAAAG